GCGGCCGCCGAAGTTGACATCGTCAGCAGCGCATATGCGGTCGGGCCCGCAGCCAGCGGGTCCAAGTTCAGCGCCTCGTTCGCGTCTGCCCCAGCCGGCACCACGCCGGCCATGACCGCGGCCGCAGTCAGGCGATTATCCAAGTCAGCCTGGCAGCGGTTAGGGCGGCGGTTGGGTATGAGGTTGGCGAGGGGGGCTGGTGCATGGGGGAGGTCGGACCAAGTGCCGCTCGGCGGCGGGGCTCCATGCAGCTGCGCAACACGCACGCGGAAGGGGCCGCGCGCTGCGGCTTAGAGCGTGTGCAAGGCAAGGCACAGGCCGCAACGCGCCCCAAAGGAGCGCCCGCCACCGCGCAGGCGGCGCCGGGTGGCCGGCCGCACCTGGTTGTGGCTGGCCACGACAGACAGCATCCCGCACAGGTGCTGCACGCTGGGCAGCAGCCCCATGTCGCTGAGCTGCGGCCGCAGCATGCCCAGCGCGAGCATCATGCTCGTCGTGTCCGGCGGCCCCACGCTCGCCGCCAGCGCACGAAGCATGACGTCCGCCCCGCCTGCCGCCCCGCCTGCGCCGGCGCCCGGCCGCGCCACCGCTGCCTTGCCGTCGCCAGCGGCGCCGGCCTCGAGCTTGCGCCGCTGCAGCAGCATGAGCAGGCAGGCCAGCTGCGCAATGTCGCGCAGGACGCTCGACACGTGGTGCTGCTCCATGTGCGAGCGCTGCGCGAAGAGGTGCCCAAGCAGCCGCTGAAGGACCGGCGGCTGCCACGCCAGCCACGCGTCGCCGTTGTGCACCGCGCAGGCCGTCGCCAGCTGGCTCATGCAGCGGATGACCGGCTGGATGTGGCCGGGCAGCGCCTCGCGCGGCTGCTGGCAGAACGCGTGCAGCAGCAGCTGCACCTGCACCAGGCTGCCGCACATGCACCAGCCGTGCTCGTGCTGCAGCACCACCACCGCCCACAGGGAGTTGCTGATCGTCTGCACCATGGCGCGCTGCAAATGGCCGCACAGGTGACCCAGCAGCAGCTGCACCTGCGGCAGCGTCAGCAGCGGCACGCATGGCGCCGCGGCGGAGGCCGCCGGGGACGCCGGCACTGCCAGGGGCAGGGCCGCCGCGAGGGACCCGCCTGCCCCCTCGCCCGCTGGCGCTCCAGCCTGCGGCGGCTGCCCCACCGCCGCCGCCGCCTCAGCGGCGGGCGGCTCAGTCGAGAGCAACGCGCCGCCCTCGGCAGCGGCAGCGGACCCTGGAGACTCCGGCGGCGACTCCTGCGTCCCGCCCGCCGCCTGACGCTCAGC